ACACTTTGCTGTGCCAGGGTTGGCAGCGGGGGCGGAGGGGAGAGCACACCCAGTGTCGTCTTCATTGGATCCTTTCATGCGCTGGGGCTGGGGCTGGGGCTGAGATTAACTTAAATAAAGCTCAAGAAAAGGAGGTAGGTTCTGAAGTTAAAAATCACTTAGCCAAGTTAGATGCCTCTGAGTCACCAGGGCCTGGTGAAATGCATCCTAAAAGCTCAAGGAGGTAATTGAGGAGGTGTCTGAGCCATTAGCTGTCATCTTTGAAAAGTCACGGAAGACAGGAGAGATTCCAGGAGACCAGAAAAGGGCAAATCTAGGGCCCAGCTATGCAAAGGGAAATAAGAACAACCCAGAACACTACAAACCAGTCAGCTTAACTTCTGTGCCAGGAAAGATAATGGAGCAAATAATTAAGGAATCCACCTGCAAACATCTGGAAGATAATAAGATGATAGGTAACAGCACGGATTTGTCGAGAACCAATCATGCCATACCGACCTGATCGCTTTGTTTGATAGGATAACAAGCCTTGTGGATAAGGGGGAAGTGGTAGACATGATGGCTGCGTCTAGACTGGTATGATTTTGCGGAAATACTTTTAACGGAAAAGTTTTTCCGTTAAAAGTATTTCCGCAAAAGCGTGTCTAGATTGGCACGGATGCTTTTGTGCAAAAAATGCTTTTGTGCGAAAGCATCCGTGGCCAGTCTAGACGTGATTTTGCGCAAGAAAGCCCCGCTCGCCATTTTAGCCATCGGGGCTTTTTTGCGCAAAACAGTTCAGTATTCTTGCGCAAGAGGGCTTTTTCCCAAGCGGGAGTGTGAAAGTATTTGTGCAAGAAGCACGGATTTTGTACATTACCAAGTCAGTGCTCTTGTGCAAATTCAAGCAACCAGTGTAGACAGCTGGCAAGTTCTTGTGCAAAAGCAGCCGCTTTTGCACAAAATCTTGCCAGTCTAGATGCACCCCACATACCTAGACTTTAGAAAGCATTTGATACAGTCTCACATGATCTTAGCAATAAACTAGAGAAATACAATGAAGATGGGGCTACTGTAAAGTGGGTATATAACTGGATGGATTGCAGTTCTCAGAGAGTAGTAATTAACCGTTCATAGTCACACTGGAAGGGCATAACAAGTGGGGTTCCGCAGGGGTCTGTTTTGGGACCGGTTCTGTTCAATATCTTTATCAAGGATTTAGATGATGGTGTAGAGAGCACGCTTATTGGCTACGTCTACACTGGCATGATTTTCCGAAAATGCTTTTAACGGAAAAGTTTTCCGTTAAAAGCATTTTCGGAAAAGCACATCTAGATTGGCAGGACACTTTTCTGCAAAAGCACTTTTCCGCAAAAAAGCCCTGGTTGCCATTTTCGCGATCGGGGCTTTTTTGCGGAAAACAGTACTGCGCTGTCTACACTGGCCCTTTTGCGCAAAAGTCTTTCGGAAAAAGACTTTTGCCCGAACGGGAGCAGCATAGTATTTCCGCAAAAGCACTGATGATTTTACGTGAGATTGTCAGTGCTTTTCCGGAAATTCAAGCGGCCAGTGTAGACAGCTGGCAAGTTTTTCCACAAAATCAAACTTGCCAGTCTAGACACAGCCAGCAAGTTTGCAGATGAGACTAAGCTGGGAGAGGTTGCAAGGGCTTTGGAGGACAGGGCCATCGTTCAAAATAATCTGAACAAACCGGAGAAATGGTCTGAGCTGAATAGGATGAAGTTCCAGAAAGAGAAATGCAAAGTACAGGCGGAACCTCCTAAATCCGGGACTGTCTGGGCTGGGGTTCTGTGATCCCGCACCATCTGTGGTCTGGCAGGGCCATGGATGGTGCTGGATCGCGGAGCCCCAGCGCCCGGGAGTGCGAGCCAGTCGGGAGTCTCTTAAAAGAAACATTCCGGCTAACTCAGCGTTATTTGCTGGATGCAGAGGAACCACAGAATAAAGTTCCCTGCTCTGTGCTATGGAGCAGCTCTGACCGGATGGTCTAGTGATCCTGCCTGGCTACAGTAGAATGGGGGAGTCTACTGTATGTGATGAGACCGTGGGTTTAGGGGGGACATGGGGCACACCTAGACCCAGCGCAAACCTCTCCCTCCCATGGGGCAATCGCCTTCTCTCCCACACTGTGTGTGTGATGGCGACAGCTCCTGGGGAGTGGCCTGTGGGGAACAACGTGGGTCAGACTCATTTGTCTCTTGCTCTCGCGGGCAGGCAGAGCAGCGAAGCCCCGTACAGCAGAGGGAAGAAGCTGTTGTAGGAGGCAGCCAGCAGCCAGAGCGCAGTGAGGCTCCTCGTCTCCACGGCGGCCGTGATGTACGCAATGGTCAGCTGCGTCTGGACCCAGGCCAGGGCCTTGTACAGCACCGTGGCCTGCCAGGACTTTGCGAGGGAGCGGAGGAAAGGGTGAATCCGGTAATCGGCCTCCACCACCGCGGCCCAGCACAAGAAGCCAAAGACTTGCCCTGGGCGGAGCCCGTGCCACCAGGCTGAGAAGGCGAAGGTGGCCCCCAGGGGGTGGGCTGGGCTGCGCTGGAAGATGAGTCTCCTCAGCCACCGGGTCGTACTCTTGTTCCAGGTCCTGGTGAAGAGGGCGACGCGGTGGGTCGTCTCCAAGGTCCAGATGTCTGCGTCGGAGAGGTCTGCCCCTCCGCCGGGGTGGTGGCCAAGCTGCAGCCCAAAGCCGGCTGCGTGGAGGAGAGCCTCGTCCAGCGCCCACTGGGAGTAATACGCCAGTCTGAAGAGGAGGGCGGAACGCCACATGACGTAGACGCAGCCAAAGCCAGCGCAGTCCGTCATGCGGGCCAGTGGGGCCGCGCTGTCCCTCAGGGCCGTTCTCAGCAGGTGCAGAGCCAGGGCATGAAGGACTTTCTGGCCCACAGCTCTCAGCACGGGCGCGGGGCGGGAAGCACCTGAGCACTGGATCTGCGCCTCAAATCTCCTAAAGGAGCACAGGGGGCCTCCCAGCAGGGCCGGGAAAAAGAGCAGGTAGCTGCATAGAGGCAGCTCCCCCCCCTCAGAGGCAATTGTCACCTTCCCCTCGTGGATATCCAGAGCCAGCGACGTGACCTTCTGGGTCTGCAGCATGAGGGAAGAGAGGGCGATTGTCAACCTGCGAGAGGGAGAGCAAGACAGCAAGTGGCCGGGAAGCGAGTGGAGTCCCGTGGTGTACGCCCTGGCTGGGGGGCGCCTGCAGCGACATGGAGCCGCGTGCCCAGGGTGTGGACAGGGTCACGCTCTGCGGCAGGGAAAGTGCAGGAGCACTGTTCCAGCTCCGCCCCCGTCCATGGGGGGTTGGATGGAGGAGCATTCTGGCTACACGGGGCTCTACCCTACCTGTACAAACGTCAGGCCGTAGCAGGCAGAGCTCTCCCTCGGCTTCTCTCTCCGTGCTGCTAACGGGAATCACTTCAGGAGTGGGGAATAAAAGGCTCGGGAGCCAGATGTGGCCCCCGGCTTGCCTGGATCTGGCCCCTGAGTCTCGGGGCCTCCCCGCCCAGCATTGGGAAGCCCACGCTCGTGCTCCAGCCCTCTCGCCCTCCCCTTGTGGGGCTGGAGCATACAAAATCCACTCTCCAGGCCCCCTAGGCTCTGGTGTGTGAGGGGAATGTGGGGAATGTCTTTCTCCTCAGTCGGGGCCACGTCAGTGAGAGTTTGGGGTTTTTTTCCTTCTTACTTGTGTGCGGCCCTCGACTCAAAAAAGGTTCCCCACCCCGGCACGCAGCCACTAACCACTTGCGGGGCCTGCTGCTCTTGTTTCCTTGCCTGAGGCGGCTGTACCACCCTGCTGCATGTCCAAAAACATCACAAGAGCCGAAACCTATGGCCGCGGCGAGCCAGCGTGGCACTCCCACATGCAGCACCAGACTCATGTTCCCCACACCCGGGCCTTTCGTCCCAAACATGCCCAGCGACCGCCTGGCTATTTGCTGTGGGCCTGCTCTGCGTCTGTACGCTCCCCTGAACGTGCCTGGTACCATCCCTACATCTGCCTCTTGCCGGGAGGAGCCAGCCGGTCCCAGTCCACACACACAGTTGGGCTGCCTCCCTGGGACAGCTGAGTCAGGACAAGGAGGGGAGCAGCCTGATACCCCGATGGACAAGAAGCGATTCCAACACCATCAGCACGGCCCTGGGGCTAAGGGATGCAGATTTGGGAGTTCGACTGCCCCTAAGGCCCAGGCCGATTCTGCTCTGTTACACCCACACAGCCCACAATCATCCGGACTAGTCTCATGCAAAAGCTGGGCCGGGCCCTTTCATTCAAGGCTTGCGCCATGCGGCCTGATACCTGAGGCAGGGGGCTCCTGGCAGATAATGCTCTCGGTAGTGCAAGGCCAGGTGGCAGAGGGTCTGCCAGGACATCTGCAGCACGAAGGCGCAGGTGTGGACCTGCCGCGGGCTGACGGAGTGGAAAATGACCACGGAGCAGACGGCGGGGAGGAAGAGCAGCAAGGCGTACGGTCCCATGGCAGCGCACGCTAGCAGGCCGCCTCCCGCCAGGAGCAAGAGGTACCTGCAAGAAAGCAGAGAGGTTTGCAAAGGCTTTCCGAGGGCACGGTGGTTCAGTGGGGTGGGGGTTGCCCCTGCGCTACAGGCTCATAGCCTACGGGGGAGGTGAGGTTCTTGATTCTCTCCTGGGCTGGCTTTGCCCTCCGGTGGACTATGTCTACCCTGCAGGCTTTTTGTGCAAGAAGCTTTTGTTGGAAGAAATCTTCTGCAAAAGCTTCTTGCACAAGAAAGCATCCACACTGCAGAAGCGCATCGAAAAAGCGATGCGCTTTTGCGCAAGAGAGCATCCAGACTGCATGGACGCTCTCTCGAAAGTAAGCCCTGATTGGTACGCACAGAACAGCCACCAGGGCCCCTGCGCTTTTTCCTCTTTCCTGTTTTTGCGTAAAAAAACCCTCTTCCCCATCCACACATGCCGTTTTACGAAAGAACTCTTCTGCAAAAAGCTCTTCTTCCTTGTAGAAAGAGGAACACCCACCGCGCAAAACCCCCGCTGTTCTTTTGATTCTCTTGTGCAAAAATGCGCTTGAGGCATGGACGTGCCGTGAGTTTTTGCGGAAAAACAGGCGTTTTTCTGCAACAACTCTGTAGTGTAGACATAGCCTTGTACAGACTTCCCCTCCCACAGCTCTCCTTGCTTCCCAGTCAGGGCTGTGTCCGCAGGCACCTGAGGGCCACACAGCTCAGGGTAACGCCTTCCTCTTGCTTCATTGCTGGACTCATCCCCCCCTCCCCTGTCAGCCCCAAAGCAGGCCTGGCAAAGTGCTGCATTTTCTCCTCTCCCTCCACCCCAGTCCCTCCTGGGCTCCCTCCTTGGAGGCACTCCAGTACCTAGCCTAGCACGTGAGTCTCGGGGTGAAACACCTTGTCTCCAAAGCTTTCAGAACTCATCTGCGTAGGCCTGTTCTTTGGCCAGCCCCGCCACCATGTGGTCCCCAGGCTGACGGAGCCTTAGGGGACCCGTGCTGCTGGGTTTGACGCTACCCCTCTTGCCCACGCGCCTGTCTCTGAACTCCTGCTGCCCCAGTCTCCGGGGCAGCCGGCAAAACAGCCCCACGCTGGGGCTCAGCTCTTCTCGGCAGTGCTTGGCACTCACACAGGGGACGACAGAGGGAACTCATCAGGCCCCCGGAAGCCTGCAGGGGCACGGGGATTTGGTACGTTTCCTGCTCCAGATTTGGCCCCTAACCCGAACGGAGCCCCCTGCTGCTGATCTTCACAAGCACAAAGACCCTGAACATTGCCAGCTCTCTGATTCATCTGACACTTGTCTTGGCTTTAGCTGCCCATTTCTTCCTGTCCCTCCACCCTGTAGAGCCGGGGCAGGGAACCTTTTTGGGCCGGGGGCCACTGACCCACGGCAAAATCAGTCAGGGGCCACACACGCGTGAGAAGCTGGAACGCCAGCGCAGGCTCCCCAGTGTGGGGGTAGTGCTGAGCCTTGGGAGCAGGATCCAGGCAAGCCATGGGTCGCATCCGGCCCCCAGGCCTTAGGTTCCCCACCCCTGCGTTAGAGGCCAGGTATCTGTGAACTAACCCGTCGGCCCTGTGGGAATGCTCACAGCCTCCCAATGAGACAGGTGCCCCTTGGGACCTTGTCCCGCTGGCCAGCCAGGCTGCTTTCCAGAGGACAGTAGTCCATGGTGGATACACAGGAAGGGCTCCAGTGAAGTCCTGTGATTTGAGTTTTGTGTCTGAGGAAAGCATCTCCCTGTTGTGGACGACCACCAGTGCAGTCCCCTCTCCCTCAGCCCTGCCCCCGACCCCAGTGCCGACAAGCTGTCCAACTGGGGCACGCAACCCAACCTGATTCGATTTCTAAAGGTGCTGGTGCCCTGCTGCTCATGCTCATGTTGGGAGAGCGGGCGCTTGGCTGCTCTGAAAATGTCACTTTCTGTCTGGCTCATCGTCTCGTTTCCCTGACCCGCAAGTCCCGTTAACTCCAGAAGAGTTGTGTGAACTTGGTGCACTGGTCTCCTCTCACCATTCCTGCCTCAGATGATAACCTGTCACTGCTACCTACATGCCCAACTGCTGGGGTGGGATTTTATAACTCAATTAATTTAGGAGCATGAGTCTCTCTGCAAGTGGGAGACTTGTGCTTCTGAGTCACCTGGGGGCCTTTGAAAATCCCACCTGCGGGTCATAAGTTCTTCACGGATTCCTTGGAAAGAGAGTTAGCCTGTGATCTGGGTGCATATCATCGCTGCATCTTCCTGCCCGATCTCCTGTAGCTCGCAGGACATTAAGCAAGTGATACTTTGGGCTTTTTATCTACAGATTTCAAAACACTTTACAAACATTAATTACACAGGGTGAAACCGAGGCACAGAGAGGTTGTGATGTGCCCACGGTCACAGTGTAAATCGGTGACAGTCAGGAGGAGATACAATGTTTTCATTCCCAGACCGTTGTTGCAACCTGTCCTCCTGCCCTAGGAAAGAGGAGGGCAATATTGCCTCGCCTGTGAAACCTGCACTTTGAATAGAATTCACCCCCACAGATCAGGAGCATGAAATGAAAGCAAACGTGAACACATACCTGGTGTTTGGCGAGAGAGAGCCAGAGGTGCAGAGAGAGCGAAACAAAAGGGCAAATGGCAACGCAAGCAGCTGGTAGAAAGCTGTAGGGTGAAGAGCAAGTGGATTTGCCCAGTCCATGGAGAGGGCCTGCCTTCCAAGTGTTAATCCCGCAGTGGTTGTCAGCTCCTAGGGCACCTCGCTGAAGAACTGAAACTCGCATCGTTCACCCTTCTCTTTATAGGGGGCAGGCGGGTGGAGTTCAAGTGGAACCCCAGATAAGCAGCACAGATGGGTCTGGCAGAGAGCAAAGGCAGCATGCTAAGGAAACGAGGTTACCGGGACTCGTGGGCCTGGCCCTCCGCGTTACACACAAGGCGAGGCAAAGGAAAACATTCTCTTTGATTTGGTAAATGTTCTTTCTGCTAAGTGCCTAAGCCCCAGGACCGGTGTTCACCTGGAAAACATGTTGCTTCATATTTCGGCTGCTACGCTCCTGAGCCACCTCCTGCTTTTAGCTGACAGGAAGCGTTACCCGCCGCGATAAGAGAGCCACCTTTCCCCACACGCAGCTTAAGCACCGAGCTCTTGGCGGTGGGCGAAGTGAGGTCAGCAATTCTCCGAAGCAGGGCAGTAGCATTTGTGTGTTTCCTTTTCAACAGTCCAGCACAGAGCTGGCTGGAGCCCCCACCCAGTAACCTGGGCACACGCCCCTGGGTGCCTCTGGAAGGCAATGCTCCCCCACTCCCAAGCACAGAGTCGGAGTGCAGAGGAGAAAGTTTGAATGACACCTGCCATCAGTTATGGAACATGCCACAAGCAGGCTTCCTAATCAAGACTGAGTAGGAGCCCTACCCCAGAGTGCGTGGGGCAGGGCCTGCCGCCTCATGTTCTCGAGTGCTGCAACCAAAACTTCCTTCTCTGCTCCCTCCCCACACCCCGCTCTCCGTGGCTGTCCTTGGCCGGTGAGAACCCAGGGTTCAGGGGTGCAGCTGGGTGAGCTCACCTCCCACCCAGTGAAGAAGGCTCTTTGCTTGCTCTGCCCTCAGAGAGCATGTTCTGGTCGCTCGCCCCACCAGCCTGGCCGCCTCACCAGCCTGGCCGCCTCACCAGCTGCTCATTCCGCTCGCTACCCCCTTGTTTGCCAGCCAACTGTCTGTTACCTTCTACTCCCACCTGCCTTCCTGCTGTGACCTGCGCGTGTCAGTCTAGGTGATTTTCAGCTCTTAGCAGGCAAGGCAGAACCACTGCCCCACCGCACGGGGATTTCCGCTTTAACAAGGAGGCTCTTAATGAAGCCCGGAGGAAGAGTTAAAGCAGAGGGACCTTTAGAGAGAGTCCACGTCCCCTAGCTGGGACACCCTGGATTTTCAGAGTGTGCTGGTATTTGAGCCCTGGCTTAACAAGAGCCTTTCAGCTGAGGGGGACCCCTCGTTTGGGATAGGTTGAGCACAGTTCGGCTCCCCGTTATTCATACAGCAATGACAACATGGCTAACTATTTCACTGCCCCTGCAGTCAGTACTGGAGTGATTTGTAACCCAGCACCAGCCACAGTGGATTGCTTTGAGCGACACTGCTCTGTCTGCTGGATATTTAAGCAGAGTAAATCTATTCATGTCGACAGAACTGTCCTGTCCATAGGATGGTTCAGGGCAGCTGCCCCAGGCCCTGCACTTTGGGGGCCCCGCAGCGGCCACTTCAACCATCCTATGGACGGGTCCCAGGGTTGTCCAGGGTTACCTGAGGGAAGAGACCCGGTCTGGGGCAGCAGCAGGGATCACTACCCCCACCCTCACTGTGGTGGCAGGATCCGGAGCAGCCCAGCTGCCTGCTATGTTCCTTCCTGCCCCGTTGCTCTCTCCCAGCCCGCTGCGCCCCACCTCTCTGCGGCACTGAGAAGCAGAGTGCCGCAGTCTCAGCATGTGCCACTCCCCACCACCATGGAGAAGCGGGGCAGGGTGGAGTAGGCTGCTGGGCTGCTCTAGCTCCCACCACTGCAGTGAGGAGGGGGCTGACGCCTGCTGCCACCCCATTCCAGGCCCCTGTAATCTCCCGGCTCGCGTTGGTTGGGGGAAGGGGCAGGCAGGGGCCTGCGGTGGAGGGATTTGTCCTGGGCCCCTTGCGTGGGACACTGGGGATGGGGGGAGTAGTCTCAGGCCCGTGCTTCCCCAAGAGATGGCCCTGCATGTAAACAGAGTTTGCTCCTGAAGTCTCTTTGTGTCCCAGCTAACTGTCAGGTGAGAATTGACACAGTCCCTGCTTATATTAGGATTATTCACCACAGCTTGGCTGTGTCCCCGGCCAGTTTACTCTCAGTATGACATAGGTGTGTAACTCTAGCCTCACCAGCCCTCCTCCGTGGTTTAAAACATGGGCCTGAGGGTATAACAGAGAGCTCCTGGGGCCAAGCATCCAGCACCCAGCACCCATGGGCTGTTCTGTAGCTGTGCTGCTCCCCGTGGGCACTGGCCTGAGAGTCCCTCACTCCAGGGAAGGTCTGAGGTCCTGGCCTGCATTTAGTCAGCTGACGTTGCTGCATGGAACAGAAGGGTATGGGATGTCCTGCTTCAGAATTTCTAAAGAGGATTCACAGCATGCAGGTGAGGAGCTGAGGGCCCTGCGCAAAGGGATTGACCCCACGACCTTAGGGGCTAAAGCCATGTGCCTCTACCAGGTGAGCGAAAAGGCAACTGGCCCTCAGCTAGGGCTGTAGAGCAGACTTGCTCTCCCTAGTCAGTGGTGTCTGCCTCTACGTTACACAAGGAGGGCAGGAAGCTGTTGGCAGTGAGAAATGAGACCATGGAGCAGCAGCTTCCTATCTGGGATTTCAGTGCAGTGTGCAGGCTGGTCCCTCCCGGGGGGACCGGTGTGAGACTTTCAGACACCACAGGAGGGGCTGTGGGATGGGGAAGAGGGGGCTGCATGGCCTCATTCAAGGCACCATGCACAGCCCCGCCCTGCTGGGGGCTCCAGCCTGCCTCTGACCCCTCCCAGGCAGCCAGCACAGCCTCTCCCTGCTTGGAGCCCCAGTCTGCCCCCCCCTTCCCTGTCAGCTGGACTTGTGCAGGCTCCGGCGCGAGCCCCATGCGGCCCGCCTGATGAGCAGAGCCGGCGCAGCCAGGTTTCGGGGGTGGTGCACATCGGCCCTCGTGCACACAACAAAATTTATTCCCCACGTGGATGTCAAACATCTGCACCAGGACGGAGGGACCATGCCCCC